TAGAGAGAGAGAGAGAGAGAGAGAGAGAGAGAGATACACACACACATATTTTTTATTACAAAAAAAACTGATCCACAAATATTTATTCGCGCACGGAATATCGGGTACAGCATGTGGCGCCATAATTATATTTCTATTACTTTCTACAACATTAAATAAGTCTTATTATTTGTTCCATGTTTTATATAATCATTTTTAGTACAGCAAGCTTGAAAACAAAGTTAAGGACGATTGAAAAATCCATAGAAGAGGCCTGTAAATGAGCTGAGCTTGAGCGAGCTCAGGCTTGGCTCGTGTTCGGCTCGTTTGAAATAGCTCGTGTTCGAAATCGACTCGTGAACAATGTACTCGTGTTCGGCTCGATTTAAATATTGTATTCGTGTTCGGCTCAAAATTGGTATGTTAATATTAAATTGAAAAAAATAGATGTAAAGTGTGTGATTTGAACCTGGAATAAATATATACAAAATAAAATACTAACCAATTACTACATGAGATGTTAGGATTTAAACCTAGATAGAAATATAAATAATATATGTAATATATTATTAGATAAATAGTTGTATAATTTTTTTTTTTATTTCGAGCTAAAACGAGCCGAACACTAGCGAACAAAGAGCTGTTTGTGTTCAGCTCGTTTACTTAATGAACGAGCCGAACAAGAGCTCTTAACGAGCCGAGCACGAGTTATTCACGAACAATGAGCTTTTTTGACAGCCAAACATAGAAGGCTCACCTAAAATCTACTTTAATTTCAATATAGTCCTTTAATTTGACAATTAACTTATGTTCTTCACTTCAAACAATCTTAAAAACTATATACATTAAAAATCATAATAATATTTTTTTATGAAGATAATATTTAAATACATTTGACTAATGATAAAAAAAAATCTCAAAAGATTTATAAGTCCTAATTTCTGTTCAAAAATTTTCCAAAGATTTTGGAATCATATGCTACCAACCTGGTGGAGTAATGCATTATTGTCTTTTGGGTTGCACAAGAATCCAAAACACACTAAAATAATAAAATTCACAGGGCCTAGCCTCAGAACAATCTTGTTGAGAATAGTGGAGCCCGGTCCACTATTTTGATTTGACAAGAATCTGTTATGAAAAAAATGTTTACTTGTTAATTAAATATTTACTTCCTTAAAGATTTCCTCCAATACAATTTCTTGAAAAGCTTCATGCAGAATCTCGTAAGATCCTGGTAATCTTCCTTTTTATTTACATAATTAGCTTCGTCTGTTTCTTATAAAAGACTAAACCCGTCTGCTCTCAAATACATCTCACATACTCATCTTCAGCTGAAGCTTGAAGGGAAAGGAAAAAGAAAAGCTTTTGCTTTCAGTTTCTTTTTTTGGCTAAAAAGAAAAAATATTTCTTCTGTTCCTTTCTCGTGGCTTTGAGAGAGAGGAAGGAGAGGCGAGGAAGAGGAGAGAAAGGAAGAGAGAGAGATTGTTCTTTCTTGTAAAACGTCGAGACGCTTGACGGTGTAATTCCTCGAAGTAATAAAATCCTCTGTAGCTCCGTGGATGTAGGCAATTTGTAGAATCACGTAAATCTGTGTGTTCCATTGTGTTTTCTTTTTTGCAATTTTTCTCGATCCGATTTTTCACTTTATTGTCGTCATTTTTCACAACAACTGGTATCAGAGCTTTGGTTCGGATTTAAGGAAGAACGATGGAAGGAGAAGAAGTGATGGTATCAGGGATCGAGAAGTTCAATGACACAGATTTTGGCTACTCGATGATGCAGATAAATGACTACCTCTATGGGAAAAAACTTCATCTTCCGTTACTAGGAAAGAAGCTGAAAAAGATGGATGAGGCGAAATAGAATCTGTTGGATCAACAGATTCTAGGGGTTGTTCGATTAAACCTGTCAAGATCCGTTGCCCATAACGTCATCAAGGAGAGGACTACTGCAGATCTCATGGCGGCTTTATCAGGCATGTATGAAAAACCATCAACGAATAACAAAGTGCACCTTATGAAAAAGTTATTCAACTTGAAGGTGACAAAAAGTGTGTCTGTTGCTCAACACCTGAATGAGTTCAATAATATCACAAATCAATTATCGTATGCTGAAATTGATTTTGATGATGAGATACGTGCGCTAATATTGTTGGCTTCATTGTGAAATAGCTGGGAAGCCATGAGGATAACAGTTAATAGTTCTGCAGATAAAAATCAAAACTGAAATATGATGATATTTGTGATTTGATTTTGGCTGAGGAGGTGCGCAGGAAAGATTCTAGCGAGACCTCTGGTTCGAGTTCGGCACTGATTATTGATTCCAGAGGGAGATCACGGGAAATGAACTCAAACAAAAGAAGATCAAAACCAAAGTCTGGCCAATATACAACCTGCTGGAATTCTAGCAAGGCTGACCACATAAAAAGGAACTGCAGGAATCTCAAGAAGGAGAATGATGGTGCTAATATTGTAACTGAAGAGATACATGATGCACTATTAATGGCAATTCACATTTCTGTTGATGACTGGATTCTGGATTCAGGTGCTTCCTTCCATACATCTTCCCACCGGGAG